ACCAACTCAGAACTTCAGGCTGTTATCCTAAAATTGGAATCTACATGTATGTGTAGGAAGGTTTTCTTAGATATTTTGAGAAGTTAACAGAAGAATTAAGGGTAAGCTATTTAGGGATAGGAAACCAGCTGCTTCTTGGAAACCCTATGGGGCAGTTTTATTCCGTCCTATAGGGTCACTGTGAGTCAGAATCAACTCCATGGCAATGAGTTTGGTTTGGTTTGGCCATTTAGGCAAAAAATGAATCCCTGAGTGGTGCAAATGGTTACGTGCTGGGATACTAACTGGAAGGCTGGCCGTTTGAACTCACCCAGAAACGCTTGGAAGAAAGACGTGGTGATCTGCTTCTGAAAGGTCACAACCATGAAAACTCTATGGAGTGAAGTTCTACCCTACACACATGGGGTCACCCTGAGTCAGAATCAACTTGACAGCAACTGTTTTTGTGGAAATATCTGTATTGAAATTGGCATTGGAAAAAGATTGAAAAGCTTAGATTGCCTTAAATTACAAACTCAATTTTGGTGACAGCAACAAGGAAGTCAGAGCCTCTTACCAACACAGCAGCGTTCCCTTTTCTTAAGCTAAAAGGAGTGGCGAAGGCTACTTTAAGGGAGACTGGAGAGGATGTCTTCCTTCTTGGCCTGTTAATAAAAGCCAGACTGGTTCAGAACATAGGGTAGCTTTTTAAGCAATCAGTCATGTTTATGTTATTATTCTTGGTTGAAATAACGGGGTTAGTCAGAAGACAGAGAAAACAAACTAAACTAAAACTAAAACTCCAAAACCCCATCTTTTGTAATCACAAGAAACAAGAAATCATTTCATGAGTTAGCAAGTTACAGAAAGTGTTGTGATTTACTCAAAAAGGACCTTGGATACTAGCTCTCTGAATGTAACCCAATGAAAAGGAAGAGACCTCTGAGTTTTCTAGAACCAGAGAAAGCCACTGGGGTTGAAATATACTCAGGGTCCAAACTCCACATTTGGCTTTGTGCTCAGGGTTGTATTCTTGGGCCTGATCTCCAACCCTTTGCCAGCAAGAGGACAGACTGTTTTGTTAATGCTTTCTTTCCAAGACTCACGGAGTTCAGGGCAGTGATAGAGACAAGAGAGCATGAGGAACCAGGTGGTTGGCAGTGTCTGCTGAACTATGGGTCAGTGGCAGGGCTGGCAACAAACATGGACAGACAAAGGCCATCCTCACTGGACCAGTTCAACTATGTACTACTGTGTCCTGGCCTGTGGCCTCAGGAGACACAGATATATTTCACTGTGTATGAACCCAGGGTTTATCCAGCTTTACAAGTTGGGCTGCAATCTAATTTCTGGACAAATGATTTAAAAAACAAAACAAAACAAAACACTTCTATGTTGCTATTTCTCAGATGTTCCCAAATATTAACATTTAACCTCTTAGCTTTCACTTACAGTCTTCTGCTTAGTGGAGTCTATAATCCACATTTTGCCATGGACTCATTGATAACTATTTTTATTTCAAATTTAAAAAATGGCCTGTACTCTGGGGACCATGGTCTCGGGGAACATCTAGCTCAATTGGCATGACACAGCTTATAAAGACAATGCTCTACATTCTACCTTGGTGAGTAGTGTCTGGGGTCTTAAACGCCTGTGAGCGGCCATCTAAGATATTCCACTAGTCTCATCCCTTCGGGAGCAAGCGAGAATGAAGAGAACAGGATACAAGGAAAAGATTAGTCCGAAGGACTAATTGTCCACAGCTACCAAGGCCTCCACCGGACTGAGTCCAGTACAGCTAGATGGTGTGCAGCTACCACCACTGACTGCTCCGACTAGGATCACAATAGAGGGTTCTGGACAGAGCTGGAGAAGGATGTATAACATAATTCTAACTCACAAAAAAAAAGACCAGATTTACTGGCCTAAAGGAGACTGGAGAAACCCCGAGAGTATGGCCCCCAGACACCCTTTTAGCTCAGTGGTGAAGTTACCTCCGAGGTTCACGGTTCAGCCTGGGAGTGGACAGCCCCGTAAAACCAAATGAGACTAACAAGGTACAGTAGTCCAGTGACAAGGGCCAGAAAGCAGAAGCGGACAAGGAAGCTGGTGATAGGGAACCCAAGGTTGAGTAAGGATATTGTTGATGTGTTGTGAGATTGTTAACCATTGTCATAGGGCAACATTTGTAGTAACTGTTAAATGAGAAACTATTTTGGTCCGTAAGCCTTCATCTTAAGTGAGAATAACAGGACAATTGGAAGAGCGTAGTCAATGTCACTGAACTGTGCATGTAGAAATTTTTGAAATGGTGTATCTTTGGCTATGTGTATTTTCACCAAAAAAAAAAAAGGTTGAGAAGTTAGAGGGTTGATATGTTGTGGGGTTGTTAACCAATGTCATAAAACAACATGTGTAAAAAAAAAAAAATGGCCTGTAAACATTTTTGTTTTACCTGTACTGTCCCTCTCATACACACATACACACACACACATGCACATACACACACACTTGTCACTGATTTTGAAAAAGAAACTGGCCACTACTTTGAACTTACTGCTTTTAAAATATCAATTAAACACCAAAACAAACAAAAAAACCCGAACATTTTAAAGCCAGAAAGCCTATGTGGGCTAACAAAGACTTTTTCTGGCTTTGGCCAATTTAGAGCTAAATTGCCTGTGCATTGTCAGCATCCTCCCCAGCAGTCAGCAAACTCTCCGTATACAAGAACTAGATGTTATTATGTAGTCCTAGGGCCCAGCATAGTTATCAGGCACATAGTAGGTATTCAATGATCAATTCTTGAATTGAATGTAGTTATTAACAGGTTAGCCCACCATTATTTCATATATTTATATCCAGATAAAACCAAACCATTCCATAAAGCACTCCTGACTCCCTAGGCACTCTGTTGTTTTCACTGGAGCCAGGAGGGAAAATAGGGGCATGGTAGCTAGTCTCCTAAGATGGTCAGAGTGAACCATGCAATCCAGAATACACTCTTGTGTAGTCCCCTCCTACACTAAATTGAGGCTGGTCCTGTGTACAGTAAAGGGTTAATTTAGCAGGTTTAGGATGTTCCAACCCTGCACATTCCAAAGAAAGGATGGGCCATGACTGGCTCCTAGGAGATAACTTCTAAGCCCTTGGAATATCCTGCCTAAGAATGTCTTTATATACCTGGGGTCTTGGGCCACACAGATAGTTTATGCTAAGAATGTGATTTATGATGGGGATCTTGGGCCATTGTGGTGCACTGAATTACTTAATATGGCCCTTCTGGCCATGCATGGTTTTGTAACTCCCCACATAATGATTAGGAGGGACTATGCAAATAAGGTGGTTGTTGCCCACCAAGGGGATTGGACAGCTTGCTAATGATTCACATATGGTACATGGCACCTTTGTGGGAGTGGAACCATGCTAACACGGTGTATAGAACCCTAATGAGGGGATTGGTCAGTTTTGCCATCCCTCTAGACTTAAGATGAGCCATCCCAGAGGCGGGAAGGACGGAGTTCACTACCATCAAAAAAGAAGACCCAGGAGTGGAATACTTCCTTTGGACCTGGGGTCCCTGCACTGAGAACCTCCTAGACCCAGAAGACAGAAAGTTGTAACACCAGAGACAATGTGAGACAGCAAAAGCAGCAGCAGAGGAACAGCAGCAGCAGAACCTGGAGACTGGCGAGAGATAGCATGGTAGGCTCACTGACCCAGAGAGAGAGAGCCGGAGTGCCTTCAGGCAAGAGGCTTCCTGGTGGAGCAGGGTGCTTCTGGGCACTTATCAGTGGAAGTAAAGGGATTTGTAACACCTGCCTGAGCAGGGCAGAGGCCAGGCCCGAGTGGGGTCAAAGGCTGAGGGCCAAGAGAGGAGGCCTGTCCTCAGGGGGCTGAGAGGAGCTCTGTATGGTGGAGAGGAGCTGAGAGAACTGTCTTGCTCCGTAGAAGGGAGACTTTGCCTACATGCTTCCTGATCCCAGTGTAGCCTGTTGATCCTGATCCCAAATTGTAACCTGTTAGCTTCCCTGATAAACTTTATAATTGTGAGTTTGTCTGTGATTTCTGCATGGCTACTGCAATGAATTATTGAACCCAGCAGAAAGTAGAGAGTGCCATGGGAAGAAGAGCTGCTGTCAGAATTGGTAAAAAGATTGGAGGGTGGAAGTATGTTTGACCTCCACCTCATAGCGTTCAGCCTTGGGCTGATACTGATCTTGATTCTCTCTTCCCCCTTATGAAGTTAGAAGAGGTCTGACAACACCTTCACACCATTTTTATAGCCACACTATATCATTTTAACCTCTGGAGGGGCTAGAGACTGAGTAACTAAGGTAAGTCATGCGGACACTCCATACCTATGTGCCCGACCCTGAATAAAAACCCTGGACACCAAGGCATGGGTGAGCTTCCCTGGTTGGCCATACTCTGTGTTGTAATACATTGTTGATGGGAGAATTAAGTGCTGTCTGTACAACTCCACTGGCAGATGACAACTGGAAACTGGTGCCTGGTCTCGCCTCAACCCAGCTGCATGTGCCTTTTTTGCTTTGATCCTTTTGTGGCAATAAACCGTTAACTGTCAGTATAGCTGTGAGTCCTTCCAGCCAAACTTCAAACCTGAGGCTGGTCTTGGGAATCCCTGACATAGCCTGTAACTTGCTTCATACAGTAGAATGAGGCAGAAGTGAGGCTGTGCGTGTTCTGGGTCTAAGCCTTAAGAAGGCCTAGAACCTTCTACTCTTGCATTTTTGGATGCCTTGAGTGAGTAATAGAGAGCATGAGGAAAGGAGAGGCTCAGTCACCCCTATGTCCCAGTTAAATCTCTGGAAGACTCCAGAACCAGCCACCCTCTGACTGTAAAACACATGAGAAACTCCCATCAAGACCAGCAGTTAAGCCCAGTCAACCCACAGAATCATGAGAGATAACAAAATGGTTGTTATTTAACACTAAGTTTTGGGGTGGCTTGTTATACACTAATAGATAACTAAATTAAGCTGAGACGATCAAAATAATTTAAGAGATTCAGAATTTAATTGGCTAAGGGATCAAACATAAGTCACTTTTAGAAACCCAAAACAATTTTCCTAAATTGAAAGCAAAAAACAAACTTTTAAGGGGACTGGGATTTAATAAAACCCACTCAAGCTGTTTAAGTCTGTTGCTTAATTTATCGTAGGCTCCAGGCTTATTTTCACTGCTAATTTGGAAACACTGAAAGGCACCAGTTAACAATACCTCACACAGGAAGAGCCTTGAGGTTTCAAAGCCCTCTCTGTTTTGTTCAATTTTACTCTTAAAATGAGAACATGAGGTTGTTGATTTAATCCAAATTTTAGAGATAAGGCCACAGACCAGAGAGTTCCCTGGCAGACCAGGGGCTGGAAATGCTGGTTTCCTGACTGCCCCCAAACACACCCTTCTGTACCCTGCCGGGTTCTACCTGGCCACCCTCCAGTGAGTCCCCCCTGAGGAACAGATGCCAAACTCCTGACACATGGTGTTTGAAAATACCTTGGAATGTTTCCACTCATGGATTTCACTCTATGTTCTCCAGTGAATATTTTAGCAAACTGAAAATGTGTCTTCTCAGTGATGAGAACACAAAGTCCGTTATCACTAGGGAACAGCAATAACACCGGCACTTTTATCTAATCATCAGCAAGTCCTCTTCCAGGGCATTAAATGGCTTATAAAATTTTATAATTTGCTTGGCAAGTATTTATCCTTTAGTGAAAGCAAGTGGTCTTAGAAGAGCAAAAAGATGCTGATGCACCACTTGGAATGGGTAAGTGGTGGCTCCTGCTGGGCTGAAGAAAGGCTGTTTCTTAGAAAATGGAACCTGGGCTTCTTATAAACATCAATCATCCCAGATAATGGTGATAATCTCAACATTTATACTCTGAATTTTTACTTTCCTGTCTTGTGTTTATAACTCACATTAGGCAGTTTTAAAGAGCTTAATTAATCCATCTGTAAGCTTTTAAACGGAAAAAACTGAGAACAGAGAAGCACATTGTCTTTGACCATTCTGTGAGTCAGAACACAGTTTTCAAAAATCCAGTATTCTTTCCTTGTGTTAAGAACAAACTTCAAGTGCCTGTTTAGCCAGCTTATTTCTATGAGGAAGAAACACCGAGTTAGGCAGCTGTTACAGGGGGAGGCAGAGAATCTTCTTGGCCACCCATTAAGGAAGATAAAAGGGCCTTATCCATTGGCTGACTCATCTTATGAAGATCTCACGGAAATTCTGTGGACACAAAGCACAATTCTCTTTGCTTGAAGAACATTTTCTGAAGCACAGATGTTTTTCTCAACTGTAAATGCTGGCTGACTTGTCCGTATACTTTTTCAGTACTCAGCAGACAGTACTGTGTTTGAAGTGGCTTGCCCTCTATAAACTTGGGGCTGATATTCATTGCTAGGTGGAAAATACATCTTTGGCTAGAACAGAAATGAATCAAAATTACACAAAAATGTTTCCATTTTGGGAAATTCCCCAAGATATAAATGTCTTCCTGGCTCTGGGCTGATATAAACTACCTCATGATCATATCCCAGAGAATATGCAGAAGTTATTGACAAGAGGACACACCTTAGCAAAACAGAAAATGAATTTTCAGTACTTTGTGATGGCAATACGTAATTATTGGCTCCTAAAGATTTTCCTTTTCAGCATTTTAGAAACAAAAATTGACTCATTTTTTCTGGTTGGTGCCTCAGTGTTTTCAACGCAGTTCCTATCTGAATAACAGAAAATATATTTCAGAGTTTTATCATTAAGACAGAACTTTATCAGTCAAACAGCACTGAGTCCTAAAACCTGTTTTGAGCTTAACAAATTAGCACAGCTTTATGCCCAGGAAGTTTAATCCAATAAATCAAGTAAAACAGTGATTTTTTTGAATACTGAAAAGTTCAACTAACTTAGATAATGAAAGTTTGGAAATGCAAGACTGGCTAAAAATTTAAAAATATTATAAATCCTAAAAAACATGCTCAGTTTCAAGTTTTATTAGAATATTTTTATTTGCTAGCAATTAAATACCATTTAACCTCTTACTACAAATATTTCCTCACGTGGATAAATACATTCGTCTTTCATTTATCATCTTTTTGTTGAGGTTGGTATGTGGAATTATAACTCTCTCATCAAGTATCTCAAGGATAAATAAAAGTAAGTAAAAATCCAACTGACTTGATATGCAGACTACAGAAAGTACTATTTCAAGCCACTGGGGGAAAAAATCTACCCAAAAGTTTAAGATTTGTGTTTTTTAAGTGTATTTACATGATGCGGAAAAAAGAAATTTCTAGAAAATTGCGAATGAGATACTGTTCTACATTAGAATAAAAGCAGAATTTCTTTACAATTGAAATTCTTAACACTTGCTTTTCTTTTAAACTAATTTTGAGTTGTGTATGAAAGTTCTAATAATCAGAAAAATACAAGGTTATTTTCAAATTTACTTGCTCAAATATTTTCAGCCTCCAAACTAGAAAAAAATGTTAAAGTTTCAAATTGATGCCATACCTACTCTGCAGAACACAATGGTGAACTGTTTTAGGAGCGTGTGCACACAGAATGCCTTGTGGGTCCGTGGAAGAGAGGCGCACACTGTACCTCCTGGGCTAATGGTCAAAGTCATAGTTAATTATAAGCACCCTGACTTGCAGTTCCAGAGGGGACAGAAATCTGAGCCACAAGATGCCCCAAATTAGGATTCCTGTTGAAAACTTGGAAAAATACCTTTGTACAAAATCATGCCCAGATTACTTTATAGGCCAGACCTGTAGTGATTTAAATACTGTCTAACACATCACTGGAGTCCCTGAGTGGTGCAAATGGTTAACATGTGGCTGCTTATTGAGAACTGGAAGTTCAAGTCCATCCGGAGGCACCTCTGAAAAAAGGCCTGATGAACTACTTCTGAAAAATTAGCCATTAAAAACCCTATGGAGCACAGTTCTACTCTGATACACATGGGGTCGCCATGAGTCAGAGCTGACTCAACAGCAACTGGTTTTTTAACAGGTCAAACTATCTGAAAAACTGTATCAGAAGCATTCTGCCCACTCTTCTCTGAATCAATAATGTTTCTAAAATTGCCTTTAACCATAACAGCTTTAAACAAAAATAAGGTTTTATTGATATCCTGCCTATGCCACCTAACAGCTATGTGACCTCCAGCAAATTCCATAATTTCTCGTCTTAGTTTCCTCATCTGTAAAACGGTAATGATTGTGGCAAAGAGTGAATGAGTTAATGTGCATGACTGCTCTGTGTTAGTATTAACATCAGTATTATCATCTACCTATTATATTCACTCATAATTTCTGGAGAGAGGCCATCAGCATAAAATAAAATCAACTTAATTCTTCAAAATAGAGAAACAGACACCACTTAAAAAAAAAAAATTCATAAAATTCCAAACTTACTATTGGCTTGGCTCAGGCTGAGCTAAGCACATTTAGATTCTTTCCAGCTTTTTCCCTCAACTAACTTCATGCACAAGGGGAGTCCTGTTACACCAGAAATGAACTTGCTGATCATGATTTTGTAATTGATCTTTCTAAGGCATGCCTTCCAGAGTTAGTAAGGAGATGGGTCACCTCCAGATGATGTTACCGAGAGATGGCAGCAAACAGCAGTCCCCCGCTTCAGGACACATTCTCACTGCCTTCCCTCTGTGTGAGATTAAGTGTTGCTCTAATCCCACACCCCAGACCCCCACATATATACCTGATCGCTAGGAAAGGTCATAAACATGAAAATTCCTCTAGCTAGAGAGGTCACTTCTGCAGTCACCATGCTGTTGTTTATATAAAAACAGATTGCCTGCTGGTTCTAAGAAGTGAGAATGGTACTTTTACTTCAAATCTTGGTGTTAGGATTTAACTTCAAACCAGGGAGATAATTTTTGTCTCTGCTGCCTGGCTTAGCCAAGCCAATGGGGGGGTCCAGAGAGACTGACCACCTCCTCTAGGCTGTAGCAGATTAAAACAAATTTCAACTTCTGGAATTTCCAGTTTGGGGACCTTCCTGGTGAACTACTATTTTAATGTCAATATTCTGGGAGGTAGGCAGATTCAAGGCAAAAGTACACTAAAGCATAGACATAGTGGCAAGGTAACTATTTAGTGCTGGTGGTTGGATCTGTTATTTCTTAGATGACAGTTGGCCTGCAGGTATCCATTTTTTTTTTTTTTTTTTTACAAAATAAACAAGTGCTTACTTTATCATTCACACCATGAAATTATATAGAAACAACACACAAACTGCTTAAAATGTAAATATTCTTTGGTTTACTCATCAAAATAGCAAATAACAAAATAGCAAAAACCTTATCAGTTAAATAAAAAAGGGACATTCTTTACCTATCGGATCTTCTTAAACATTTGAAATGCATTCATTTTCATGCTCATTCTGTAGCAATATCCTTTCTTCTCTTTTGCTCCTACTCCCCGTTATTTTGGTGGGTTTTTCCCTAAAATGAAGATTGTTTTCTCTTTCTTAATACCACTTACTTTGCATTATCCCAATATCAAGCACAATCTAGACTGTCACTTTGTCTATTATATTTGAAACTTATATGAAAAATGAAGATTTCATTAGCACATTTTCAAGATAACATGAAAGTTAAGCTTTAACCATGCATTTCGAGGCAATGATATATTACATTTCTGGGAATTTAAGTATCACCACTGGTTTAAAAAACAGTACTCAATTCCAGAAGCATATTCTTACTTTGGCCATTACTGACAATGTCCAATATAGTTCATTTCCACAGTAATGATTTCAGATGAGCAGTTTTCTATTCTTCTGAGGGTTCATTTTGATGGCCTCAGACTTAATTCTTGAATGTCAATGACAAAAACTTTAATGAAAGGATTGAGGTAAACGTGAAAATGGAATTACTTCTAAAGGAGCAGTAACAGCAGGAGAAAGCTGTTGGCTTTTTAAAAGAGGCACATATACATAGTAAGGAATAGAAATGAATCAAAATACATAACTTTGTACATGTTAGAAATATCCGATGCGCTACCAATACAACAACTGCCCTAAAAAAGATATCTTGAGGTTTGGAACCATACTTATCTTTCTTTGTATAACTCTACATTTGAATTATCCAACCACACATTTTCCCCATAATCTGTTAACCATTAGGAAGCTTTTCACTAGAATTTTTGGAAATATGCTTTTCTTCAAATAAAACATGCCCCATAAAAGCATTATCATTAATGCTTGACAACTGAATTGGGGAAAGTCTTTCTGAAACATGTGTAATCTTAAAAAAATTCTTTTTTCCTTCATAAGTCAGCAGTGCTCCATCTTCAAATAAATCACGAGCAGTCACAATCTTAACTCATATGCTCATATGTTCTCTTCATCCAACATTTTGTTGACACCATCACAAAGTTTTTGTAAGTGGGGTTTAAAGTTTCCAAAGGGATTATACAAGGCAGCCAAAAATTCACAATTTGAAAAATGATCGAAGACATTATTAACCCGTCCATGTGATTTTGCGGTGAGGTGACGCTGAATGATTTGGTGGAGCATATCCCTGCATTCATTTAGCAGCTTAGACAACACATTCCGGTCAAAGGTGTAATCCACCTGATGGAAGCTGACCACCGTCATAGCAAGCTGATGAACTTTCTTCTTAAATTTCTCCATGAGTGCCAGCTCATCTTGATTAAATTGATTATTCCTGTAAAGAATGGCCAGCTTGATGACTGTTTTGATGAGGTTTTTGATGATTTTCTCTGCCTCCTTCTTGTTTTGGGTGTACTCCTTGGTCACTCTGTAGAGCTCATCTAAAACCTCACTGCTCGTGTCGTCTATTAAGGTGGTGGCGATGGATTTGGACACCATTTTACCCAAGATCTTCTTTTGTGCCTGAACAGCCAGGTTTTTGGAATTAAACACATCTGTGGCCACTAAAAACAGAGAAAAGAATAAAAGATCAGTAAATATCAGTTAGAGAAGCGAATTACAAAACAGGTAATTCAAAAAATGAGAATTTTTTTTCTCATTTTCTTTACTATTTGTGGTTTGCCTCCCATCTACTGATATTAGTCTCTTCAGAAAAGATCTAAAAAATATTTTCTACATTTCTGGGTGATTGTGTATCTGGGGTTGCCAAGTCAAGTATATGATACCTTCTATTATAAAGGACAACTGGCAGTTTGTCGTACTGTGCTGGCTTGTGTGTTGCTGTGATGCTGGAAGCTATGCCACTGGTATTTCAAATACCAGCAGGGTCAGCCACGGTGGACAGGTTTCAGTGGATCTTTCAGACTGAAACAGACTGGGAAAAAGGATCTGGAGATCTACTTCTAAAAAAAACTGGCCAGTGAAAACATTATGGACAGCAGCTGAACACTGTCTGATATAGCGCTGGAAGATGAGCCCCTCAGGTTGGAAAGAACTCAAAATACAACTGGGAAAGAGCTGCCTCCTGAAAGTGGAGTTGATCTTAATGACATGGATGAAGTAAAGATTTTGGGGCCTTCATTTGCTGCTGTGGCATGACTCAAAATGAGAAGAAACAGCTGTAAACATCTATTAATAATCAGAACATGGAATGTACGAAGTATGAATCAAGGAAAATTAGAAGTTGTCAAAAATGAAATCGAATGCTTGAAGATCGATATCCTACAGATTAATGGGCTGAAATGGAGTGGTACTAGCCGTTATGAATCGGACAATCATATGGTCTACTATCTGGGAATGACAACTTGAAGAGAAATGGCGTCACATTCCTCGTAGAAAAGAATATTTCAAGATCTACCCTGAAATACAACCCTGTCAGTGACAGGATAATATCTATATGCCTACAAGGAAGACCAGTTAAAACGCCTACTATAAGAATTTACGCATCAACCACTAATGCCAAAGAAGAAACTGAAGATTTTTATCAACTTCTACAGTCTAAAATTGATCGAACATGAAATCAAGATGCATTGATAGTTACTGGTGATTGGAATGCAAATGCTGGAAACAAAGAAGAAGGAATGGTAATGGGAAAATATGGCCTTAGTGGCAGAAACAATGCTGGAAATCACAAGATAGAATTTTGCAAGACCAACGACTTCTTCACTGAAAATATTTTGCAAATTTTTTTTTTCAACAACATAAACTGCGACTATACACGTGAACCTCACTGGATGGAATACACAGGAATCAAATCAACTACATCTGTGGAAAGAGACGATGGAAAAGCTCAATATCATCAGTCAGAACAAGACCAGGGGCTGACTAGGGAACAGTCTCTCAATTGCTCATATCTACGTTCAAGTTGAAGCCGAAGAAAATTAAAACAAGTTCATCAGAGCCAAACTATGACCTTGAGTATATCCTACCTAAATTTAAAGATCATCTCAAGAATAGATCTGACACAATGAACACTAATGACCAAAAACCAGACGAGTTGTGGGATGACATCAAACATGATAAAAGCAAAAAGGTCACTAAAAAAATAGAAAACAAGAAAAAAAGACCAAAATGGATGTCAGAAGAGACTCTGAAACTTGCTCTTGAGTAGAGCAGCTAAAGCAAAAGGAAGAAATGATGAAGTAAAAGAACTGAACACAAGATTTCAAAGGGTGGCTCGAGAGGAAAAAGTAAAATATTATAATGAAATATGCAAAGACAGGAGTAAGAAAATCAAAAGGGAAGAACACACTCGGCATTTCTCAAGCTGAAAGAACTGAAGGAAAAAATTACTGAAATACTGAAGGATTCTATGGGCAAAAAAATTGAACAATGCAGGAAGCATCAAAAGATATGATCAAGAACTGATGGTACTGAAGGAAGAAGTCCAAGCTGCACTGAAGGCACTGGTGAAAAACAAGGTTCCAGAAATTTATGGAATACCAATTCAGATGTTTCAACAAATGGTTGCAATGCTGGAAGTGCTCACTCGTCTATGCCAAGAAATCTGGAAGACAGCTACCTGGCCAACACACTGGAAGAGATTTATATTTGTGTCCATTCCAAAGAAAGGGGAGCCAACAGAATGTAGAAATTATTGAACAATATCATTAATATCACACATCAGGAAAATTATGCTGAAGATAATTCAAAAACAGTTGCAGCAGTATATGGACAGGAAAAGGCGAGAAATTCAAGCCAGATTCAGAAGAGGACGTAGAACACGGGATATCATTACTGACTTCAGATGGATCTTGGCTGAAAGCAGAAAATACCAGAAAGATGTTTACCTGTGTTTTATTGACTATGCAAAGGCATTCAACTGTGTGGATCATAACAAATTATGGATAACAT